ATGCCGGAAGAACAGAGCCTCACACAATGTCCTCACGTGAGCACCCACACACTCCTCAGCCTACCCAGACACAGGGTTTAGGCCAGGGGGTTTAGGGTTTCGGGAGCCTACCGTATTTGAACAACTACCACATGCGAGTGAGCGGACAACAAGATGGCTGATCCTGCCAATGCAATCATCCTCACGCGGATTGATGATCTCAATGTGCCCTTCTTTGGTAGTCTGAACTATAAGGAAGAGGCCTTGACGGAGACGGATAAAAAGAAGCACAAAGCAACTCAACCCCAATTGAATGCCTGCAAAAACCCACATGTCCCAAGTGAGATTAGCCAGGACACGCGGATAGCCTCGCTTTCCTGGGCTTGGGGAACCTGACGTTTCCAGGAAGGGGGAGGGCTTAGGGTTTAGGCTTTTGGGTTTGGTTTTAGGGTTTAGGGTTGGACCCTAAACCCTAAGCCCTAAACCCTAAACCCTAAACTCTCCCTTCGACCTCTATGGCGAAAGTCGACCCAGGTCGCTTGCCCGCCTCCGAGGTTGGTAACAGCCACAATGGGCCCGGCACCCGAACAGGTTCTCAGTACTGGTCCCCTTAATCAAGTAAATACCCTAAACCCCAAGCTGGAGGTCGTTGGCCCTTTCGGGGGGGGGTACCCCAAGGCCCCCAGGCCGGGACCCGGACCCCTCACCGCAGCGTGTCCGGCCCCCGCCTGGCCCGCCTGCCCCTTGGCTCTGCCTCAAACCCTCTCTATGCAGCTGAAACCCGTGCTACAAACGAGCCCGGACCTGGCCTCAAACCTTTCCCCTGGCTGAAAGTGGCCATCAGTGACGGATTGGTTTTGTTGAAAGTAAGCGATTGTCATGAGTTTAAGCCTAAACCCTAAAAGGAATAGGTTTGGGTGGTTTTGCCGTCTCGGACGGCGTGGGGTGGGAAAAAAGTATTAGATGGCCCTCCGCAATCGGGCCAAAGCTGCTCTTCGCACCGGACGAGGCATTCGAGCCGCTGCTGCATCCTAACCTTCACAGCATCTACGCCCTATTACAGCAAACCCTAAACCCTAAACCCTCAACCCTTGGGGTTTAAGGGTATAGGGTCAGGGTCTACAGGGGTTTGGGGCCTTCGCCCCCCCCCCCCCCCCCCCGGCTGCAAAGCAACTGATGCGGATCCCGGCCTCCACTGGAGCATCTGCTTGCTTCTCCTGCGGCTTTGCATCCAGGGCCTGCAGGGTTTGGGGTTTAGGGTTTAGGGTTCAGGGTTTAGGGTTTGGGGTTTGGGGTTTAGGATTTGGGGTTTAGGGTGTAGGGGTGCAGGGTGCAGGGTGTAGGGTTTAGGGTTTAGGGTTTAGGGTTTAGGGTTTAGGACCTCAACTCACAGAGCCCTATCGCCCACCCCTTAGTATGGTCTATTCCTTGGTTTAGGGTTTAGGGTTTAGGGTTTAAGGTTCAGAGGTATTGGGCTCTTTTGGGCGCTTCTCTCTGCCCTGCTGGCCTTGCCATCTGGAGTGATGCCGCCAAGTTCCTGCGTCCACGAAATCCCGAAATCCTAAACCCCTAAACCCTAAACCCTAGACCCTAGACCCTAAACCCTAAACCGTAAACCCTACTTGGCAGTCGATCCACGTGAGCACGCGCGAAAGCTGAGGTCCAAGCTCGGGGAGAATCATCTCCAAGTGAGATGACCTCACACACCCAGAGAGCCCTTTTATACCCCTGAATTGAGGGTTTAGGATCTAGGGTCCAGGGTCTAGGGTTTAGGGTTTACGGTTTGGGGCTTAGGGCTTAGGGCTTAAGGCTTAGGGTTGAAAACCTTAAATGCGCCGAAGCCTCGGGCCGTAGGTGTATGGGTGGCACAAAGCAGGCTCCCCACCTCTAATCCCCTCCCCAACGGCATGGGACCCGGTTTGCACCCCTTTTTTCGGCGTTTTTTTCCTGCAATGGGTACCCCCCGAGGCAAACGGGGGTGGCGGCGCGGACGGCGCAACAGGACCAGGGCAGTTTTTGGCCTTGACACACAGGGACCCCCACCCCGCCCTTCGCCAGACCGCCCCCCAATCTTCCGGCCCCTCCCCTCCACCCCCCGCACCCACCCGTGCCCATCACTGGTGCAGGGTTGCACCCCAAGCTCTCTGCGCCACTCATTTTTGCGTGGTCACGGTGCGTGTGAAACCTGGTGCGCAGCACGTCGCACTAGGCATGTCTCTGTTGGGCATGCGGTTTAGGGTTAGGGTTTAGGGTCTAGGGTCTAGGGTTTAGGGTTTAGGGTCTAGGGTCTCGGGTCTAGGGTCTAGCATCTGGCGTTGATGCATGAGGTGCGTCCTGGCCAAACTGCCTCTGTGACCCTGCGCAGCTGCAGAGCTTCCCGCAACCATGCACATGCTCACGGCCGAGGCGGGTCGCGTAGCGTTAAAATAAAGGAAGATGCACTTTAATTAAATTCTACAAGGATCCTTGGTATGATTTAAGGAACATTCCTTATGTTCGGGGTATCGAACGCTCTGGGCAATCCAAGCTCAACCCTCAAACGCTCAAGTCGGACAGCGTTCCCGAGCGCCCAACATGATTCTCTGGGGTCACAATCTGGCAAGACGGACCTTGGGAGGAGCACAAAAAAGTTGACACTCAATCCTTGAACTGGCATGCCCTCAAAACCCCTAACCCCTGAACTCTAAACCCTAGAAAAACCCTAAACCCCAAAACCCCTTAACCCTAAACTCCAAACCCCAAGCACCAGGGCCCATGCTCACGGGGCTCATATCGGGCGGCGAAATCTGTGGGCCTCGGATGCCATGCACCACACGATTGCAAACCCAAAGCAGCCCAACGACTCGGGTTTAGAGTTTAGGGTTTAGGGTTTAGGGTTTAGGATTTGGGGTTTAGAGATTTAGGTTTAGGGCTTACGGGGTTTAGGAAAACAAAGGGAGGGTGGTTAAGATTGGGGAGGGGAGAATGTCCCCCAACCCCAAACCCCAAGCCCCAAACCCTAAACCCCGAACCCGAAGCCCTACACCCTAAACCCTAGACTCTAAGGGTATTACATAGCCCCTTAGTATGGTCCCTTACCTCCTCTAAAGGGTTCTGAAGTAAGGGCCATTAGATTGTATAGGCTATATAAGGGGTATATAAGGGCCCCTAAGCCAAACCATTAAACCCTAAACTAAGTGCATCGAGCGACAGACCCCGAACACTCTGCCGAGGGCCTTACAGCCCCAGCGCCCAAGCCAAAAGAGAAACGGAAAGGTGAGGGTTGAGCCTCACCGTCTGTCCTGGACAGGCCAACGGACATCGACCGACAACGTCAGTACTCGGATAAGGGAGGCCATACCCAGACCACCTTTAACATAGCTAAAGCGTTCAGGGTCTGCCTGGGCCCCTCGGCCCCAGGGCCCCTTTCCTGGACCAAGGGCCGAAGGGCCTTCCAGGGGTCTTGCAAAGGCCTCAGGGGCCTCCAAGGCCTTTCGGGCCTTTCAGGCGCGAAGCCCGCCAGCTACGAGTCCCCAAGTCTTGGTGTAAGGATTAGGATTTAGGAACTAGGACTTAGGATTTAGGATTTACGTAGGATTTACGAACTAGGATTTAGGATTTAGGACTTAGGATTTAGGATTTAGGAAATAAGATTCAGGATTCAGGATTTGGAATTCAAGATTTGGAATTTGGCTTTAGAACTTTAGAATTTACTAACTAAGATTTAGGATTTAGGATCGAAAGGTTCCCCAGAACCGTGTAATGTCATACTAAAGAAATCACCTGTTTCATTCTCGGCCACGCCAAATCCTGGGATCCCCTCACATGTTGGAAGTCCTTTAGGGTTTAGGCTGAACTAGGACCTGGGATTTAGGATTTAGGAAGTAGGATATAGGATTTAGGACCTAGGATTTAGGATTTAAGATTTAGGAAGGAGGATTTAGGAGGAACGAGGATTCAGGACTTTCTATCTGGGGCCTTCAAGGAAGTAAGGGCCCCAGCTTCAGCCCTAGCAACTTCAACGATAGAAATAAGGGTCCCACCCCCTTCCCAAGAAAGTTCTTAGGATTTAAGATTTAGGGTTTAAGAACTAGGATTGAGAATTTCGGAACCAGGAGTAAGGGAGTAGGCTATAAGAACTAACATTGAAGATTTAGGGCTTCCCTTTGGGACCTTCAAGTAAATAAGGGCCTTTACGGGCCCTGACACGCCGCAGGCCCGAAAAGGGCCGAGGCTACCCCCAACCCCAGCCTAAACCTTAACACCGCAACTCGACAACAATAGGAACAAGCATCGGTGCATAAGAGAATCAATTCAGTAAACCCTAAACCCTAACAGAGTATAGTTTGGGTGGCCGGGGTGGGTTGACAGGCAACGCGAGCGCGCGGCCCGGGGTGTTTCACACCCGCGCGCGCGCTCCCTCCCCTGACACCCCCTGAACCCTTAAACCTAAACCCCAAATCCCAAACCCCAAACCCTAAAGAGCCTGGGAGCCCCAGCTTGATGCCCTTGCAAGGAAATGGCCCTTTACCCGGACAGTTCCGCTTGAGCCGGCGGCTGCGCAACCCAAGCATCTGGGGTCGACGGTTTGGGGTGGGTTTAGATTGTTAGGGTTTAAGGTTTAGGGCTTAGGGTTCAGGGTTTAGGGTTTAGGGTTTAAGGTTTAGGGCTTAGGGTTCAGGGTATGTTTAGTTAGGGCTTAGGGTCCAGGGCTGTTGTGGCTTGGTTCGGCTTTTCGAGTCGTTCGGTGGAGTTTTGCGCAATAATCCCAAACCCTGACGGCCCAAAAGCTCTTGGAAGCTACTCCGACGTCCACGGAGCTAAAGACCGCGTTGCTACGGTGTTACTTAATACATCTACACGCTGTACTGTGAAATTAACCCAACCTTCCAAAACTGTGGTAATATTTGTTGGGGGCGAGTCCTATACTAAGGATGAGAGTAGCTTGCGGGTAGATTCAAAGTACCCCTCTTCTGAACCCTAAACCCGAAACACGAAGCCCGAAACCCTAAACCCTAAACCCAAAATTGTGACGTGGCAGCCTCGTAGCCTGTGATGAGGAAGCTCCCGCCGTCCAGCCAGAAAAGGTCTCGCACGCCCATGACCCCGACCTTGGCCCTGCCGAGTGTTTAGGGTTTAGGAGGGTTTAGGGTTTAGGGTTGAGGGTTGAGGGTTGAGGGTTTAGGGTTTAGGGTTTAGGGTTTAGGGTTTAGGGTTTAGGGTTTGGTTTAGGGTTTAGGGTTTAGGGATGCTAGAGCAGCCATCTGTTCGTGTGCACAAACTTGCTCTCGGCGCGCCTCGGGATGATGGTGATTCGTTCCACCTGAGGAGCCCAAGATGTCAAAGGAGTTACAGGTTGGGTTCAGGGTTTAGGGTTTAGGGTTTAGGGTTTAGGGTTTAGGGTTTAGGGTTTAGGGTTTAGGGTTTAGGGTTTAGGGTTTAGGGTTTAGGGTTTAGGGTTTAGGGTTTAGGGTTTAGGGTTTAGGGTTTAGGGTTCAGATAAAAGGTCGATCAGCAATGTCAACGTTCAGCTCGCAGAAGACCTAAGTCCGCCAAACCCTTGTGAAAGCTGAAATGGCCTTCACTCCTTGCATGCCTCTGACGAAAGAGACTGAGACGCTCAGCCATTGGCCAGTCACGAGCATTGAATACACACAACGGCAAGCCCCCTACATACCGTACCCCTTACATACCCTATAATAACCGAAGGGCCCATACTTCAGCACCCCTGTAACGAAGGGACCATGCTATGGGAACATGTACCTACCCATAGAAGCTCGCCAATGCTGCTTGAAGGTTCTGTTCATGGTACTTACTAACCAATTACAACTGGGTTTATAACCCTACTTACAATTGGGATAACCCCTATAAGGCCCTTTAGGGGTATTTTAAGTAGGGTTATAAGTACAGTTATAATTGGTTAGTAAGTACCATGAACCTTCAAGTGGACACGAAGTGCAGCCCACATGCGGGCAACTCCTGTGGGAGGGACCTTCTGCTTTCCTGCGCGACGCTCAGCTTCCTCAGCAAAGCAGAACAGGGTTTAGGGTTTTTGGGTTTTGGGTTTAGGGTTAAGGGTTAAGGGTTAAGGGTTAAGGGTTAAGGGTTTAGGGTTTAGGGTTTAGGGTTTAGGGTTTAGGGTTTAGGGTTTAGGGTTTAGGGTTTAGGGTTTAGGGTTTAGGGTTTCGGTTCGGGTTTCGGGCTTCGGGTTTAGGACTTGGGGTTTAGGGGTTTAGGGGTTTAGGGGTTTAGGGGTTTAGGGGTTTAGGGGTTTAGGGGTTTAGGGGTTTAGGGGTTTAGGGGTTTAGGGGTTTAGGGGTTTAGGGGTTTAGGGGTTGAGGGTTGAGGGGTTTAGGGGTTTAGGGGTTTAGGGGCAGTGGTGAGGGGGTGATACCATAGCCGTCCGCCAGGGCTGTCCAGTGTTCGGGCAGCCCGCAAAGAGCCCTACGAAAGAAAAACCTTTCAGTCATATTGAGGGGTCCCTATATTGTTTCAGGCATATTCCTCAATTCAGGGGTCTGCCCTAAACCCTAAACCCTACACCCTAAACCCTAAACCCTAAACCCTAAACCCTAAATCCTAAATCCTAAACCCTAAACCCTAAACCAAGCCCAAAAGGAGCATGGCTGTAAGACTTGCTGCGCACTGCTTGGCAGGAGCACCTCGCTTCCGAACGACGGTGCTGCTTCCACGCGAATCCTCGGAAGGAGTTTACTTGGGGTTTAGGGCTTAGGGTTCGGGTTAGGGTTTAGAGTTTAAGCTTTAGGGTTGAGGGTTTACGGTTTAGGGTTTAGGGTTTAAGGTTTAAGGATTAGGGCTTGGAGGTTCATGGGCTTTATTAACCCAATTATAGCTGCACTTATAACCCGATTATAGCCATGTAACGACACTTAAGGGACTTATATCTGGGTTATAAGTGCAGCTAGAACTGGGTGATAAGTACCATGAACCTCCAAGTACAGTCTCTCGCATTGTTGGGCTTAGGGTTCTTAGAGTTCTTGGGTGCTTAGGTTTCTTCGGGCGCTTAGGGTTCGGAGGCTTCTTAGGCTTCTTTGGGTTCTTAGGCTTCTGAGGCTTCTTAGGCCTCTTAGGCTTCTTAGGGGTTCTTAGGGTTCTTAGGGGTTCTTAGGGTTCTTAGGGCTCTTAGGTTCTGAGGGGTGTAAGGCTTTAGGGGGTGTGAGGTGTTACGCTTCGCAGCTGCTTTTCGCGCAACCCTGAGGTCCAGGCACGATCCCTGGCTCGCTAAATTCGAATCGGGCAGTTCGCTCACCGTCAGGGCCTCGGCACAAGCGGGCGGCCTTTAGGGCTGTTGGAGTGCTGGGCTGCTCCAGGGTGCGGCATGATGCAATATGCACAAAAGCAAGAAGCGTGCCGAGTGTCTTGGGCTGCTTTGGTGTTGAAATTGTTTTGAAGGCGGGGATTGGTTTGCGGGGTACAGGGTGACCTCAGGCCAAGGCATTCGCAACCTGCTTTGGACCCTCCCTACTTGGAGGTTCATGGCAATTGCAACTGCTCTTATGACCCATTTCTAAGACCCTGAAGCGCCCGAACATGGCTACAATTGGGTTATAAGTTACAAGTACATCTATAACCGGGTTAACCAGTACCAACCTCCAAGTAGCTGGTTAAGGGGTGTATGGGTGCCCTGCGGTTGGCTAGGCGTAGGCCGGTTAGCCCGCGGGCCCCTAGTACAGGCTTATGTATGGGGCCTTCGGGGTTTTTGGGCTACAGTGCTTTTAGGGATTTTCGGGTCATACGGGTGCGGGGCTTATGGGCTTTGAGGGGTTACAGGGTTATAGGGTGCTTTTTGATTTAGGGTTTAGGGTTTAGGGTTTAGGGTTTAGGGTTTAGGGTTTAGGGTTTAGGGTTTAGGGTTTAGGGTTTAGGGGTTCCAGGGTTGCAGGGTTGCAGGGTTTCAGGTGCTGTAGATGCGGCGGCAACATGGGGTTCCCTGCTAAGGAGCAGTGGCTGCACGGTGGGCGTCAGAAACGGAGCCTGGTTTAGGGTTTAGGGTTTAGGGATTAGGGTTGAGGGTTTAGGGTTTAAGGTTCAGGGTTCAGGGTTCAGGGTTTAGGGCCCATTACCCTTGATTCGGGAATGCACCTTAAAGCACATGCAGGATCCTCTAGAAATTACAGGTATACTTTAAGGAGGGGTATGAAGGGGCTCTTTGGGGTCAATGCCACGTCTACACATGATCCGACCCAGCTTCTGTCCGCACTGTGATGACACGATACACCAAAGTAGACCCTAGACCCTACACCCTAACCCCCACACCCTAAACCCTAAACTTTCACCCTGAACCCTGAACCCTCAACCTAAACCCAATCCCCTCCCCCCCCAGCAGTGAACATGCGCCTCGGCAGTCGGCATGACATGCGTGCGGCCACTGGCGGACTTCACTTTGCAGCCTGATGGAACAGGACATGTTCAGGGGACTAAAAGAGCGGTCCTTATAGGGTTTAGGCTTTAGGGGGGTTTGGGGCTTAGGGTTTGGGGTATAGAATTTAGGGTTTACGCCAAATCTGGGGCTCCCTGGATATGTATACATAAGGTACAACACAGGGGTTATAATGCAGAGTGATAGGATTGACGATGGCCCTTGCCAGTCTCCCTTACACCATGGGAGTCAAGACCATTCGATGCTCGTAGGGATGCGCGGCGCAGGGGCTTGGGGGTGTCGAGTTTAGGGTTTAGGGTTTTAGGGGTGGGGTCAGGGTCTACAATTTAAGGATTTGAGGTTTAGGGTTTAGGGTTTAGGGTTTAGGGCTGAGGGTTGCACCTTTGCACATACTGACATCGAGAAGAAGGCCTGGCGAAGCTCCAGGTCGCGAGCTGGCGACGGCAACGGGCCCCTGACTTCGTTCGATGCATGGATGATGTGAGCAATACCCAACGAGCCCGATACCCCTTAATTAAGGAGTATGGGGGGTTTAGGGTTTAAGGTTTAGGGTTTAGGGTTTGGGGTTCGGGGGTTTACGATAGTAGGGGTACCTTGTGAGGGTCCTTGTTGTAGGGGGATCCTACTCTGTGGGGGTCTATCTTGGGGGGTCCCTTATAACCGTGAAGCCCCACGTGCCTGAAATTATACAACATGGAATGTTCCTGAGTTAAGGGGTATTGTGCTCTCTGCGTACTTAAATACAAAACCCTAAACCCTAAATCCTAAACCCTAAACCCTAAACCATGTTCTGCTGAGATCGGCACTTGACGAAGAACTGCTTTCACCGACAGTCCGACCCAGCACTGCGCGAAGCCGAGCAAGGCCTTCCAGCGTTCAAACCATAGCTGTTGTCCTTAAGCCTCAGGGTTTAGGGTTTAGGTTTTAGGTTTTAGGGTGTAGGGTTTAGGGTTTAGGATTTAAGGCGGTTCAGTATTCCAAGCAGGGACTTCGACGAGAACCAGGTACCTTTGAGAGAGATATGTTTGGGGTAAAGAAGGCCCCCAACCCCCAAACCCTAAACCCTAAACCCAAAACCTTAAACTTTCCACAGATCTGCGAAGACTTACTGTTGGGGAGAAGGGAATGAAGGAATGAGGTACCCTAAATGATCCCTTAAAGGGTATATATAGGGGGGTATAGGGTACCTCCTTCCCTCATTCCTTACTAAACCAACAATAAGAAGAACCAAGACGCTTCAATTCCAGACTCCTACACCCTCAACCCTAAACACTAAACCCTAAACCCTCTAAACCCCACCGTGCAAGCGAGCACGCCGAACGTTGTCAGCGAGACTCTCTTGGAACTTCTGATCCTCCAGGCTCTGCTCTGTCGAAGGGTTTAAGGTTCCCTAAACCCTAAACCCTAGACCCTAATCCTAATCCCTAAACCCTAAGGGGTCAGGGTTTTTCAGAAGCACTGCTGCAGATCGGTTCAGGGCTGAAGGTTGCAGGCCCAAGACGCAGGGCTGAGGGTCAACTCCGCGCGAGCGCATCTTCAATCATTGAGCAGACAGGTCTCACAAACAAGTCGCTGCCCACCATGGGTCGTACTCTGCAACGGGCTTCGAATGAGTTGCTCGAAGCCCTGAACCCCAAACCCCAAACCCTAAACCCTAAACCCTAAACCCTCCTTCTACGTAGCTCTGAACTGGACCCTGCCGGGCGGAGGCATGTAGAACTCCTGGCTGCCACACCCCACATCTTTCCACAAGCACGACAACATTTTACAGTCCTCCGCAAGCGGACTCTCCGCATTTGTACACTTGGGCAGCACCTGCAACACACAGGTTTAGGGTTTAGGGTGTAAGGTCTTGGTTTTTGGGGTGCAGCATGACACATTGCAAGCTGCGATCTCTGCAAGAAACTTCACTCGCCTATCCGCCATCGCATTCGACACCTCGCAGTGCATTCTGTCAGTTTTTTGCATACGGGATGTACGTGCAGAACAAGTTCGGACAAATAGAGCCAAAGAACAGAAGCAGTCCACTCAATGTCTAGTCCAAGCCATGCTATGAGTCATTCTGGTGTACTTGAGAGTGGTGATCTTGAAAGCTCCAAATCAGAGAGGCGGACTACATGAAAGGAGTCCGGTTTGGCATGCTTCAGAACAATAAATGTGCCTCTCATGCCTCTCTGAGACTCTCATTCTGGAAAAGAACGAAGCTGTATCCACGAGGAACACACCGGAGCGTCTAATTTGCCTTCACCTCGACTCCACCATGCAAGTGACTAATTCATTTTAGGGTTTAGGGTTTAAGGGTTAGAGGTTTAGGGTTTAGGGTTTAGTAATCATAGTAATAATCGACATAAGAATGATTATAGTAAAACAAGTAGAAATTGCAAGAGACCTACCGTGTGACAGTGTCGTGGGCCCTTCCACAGCGCGTCAATCGCTTCATGTTGACAGGGGTATCAGTAGCTGAGACCGTCGATGCAGGGTTAAAACTTGCTACCTTTCTGAACCCCTAAACCCTAAACCCTAAACCCTAAACCCTAAACCCTAAACCCTAAACCCTAAACCCTAAAATAGGATTTTGAACTGACTGTGGGATGACATGTCCAGTTCACGATGGGTCGTTGGGTACACAACATATGCAGCAAAGGCCCGTATCAGAATAGGTACCAGCCCGAAACCCGAAACCCAAGTTTGTGGAACCCATTCTGCTCCTCGCACTCTGACTGGGGCTCTCGCGTCACAGCAAACAACCAGCATGGCGGTGTCAGCTAAGCAGATGCATAGAGGGGGTTTGGGGCTTAAGGGGTCATAGGATGGTTTAGGGTTTAGGGTTAAGGGGTTCTGGGTTTGGGGCTGAGGTGCCACTTAGTGAGATCCCACCTCCTGAGCCTCCTGCTAGGAGTGGACACACGACCATTGACATCGTTGATGAGGCAGGCACAGCAAGGACCAAGCGTGCAGAAGGTTGCAAGCCGTTCAAGAAGACAGGTTCCAATGCAGACATGCAGGAACTGTGGATGGGTGACTAAGACTCGACAAGAGGCCCAATTTGCGGACCCTGCAAAATGCACACACAGCCCAGCATGGACAGGAGAGGTTCCCCGAAGGCAATGCCGTGACAGACCTGCAAGGATTGTGGTGCAAGGCTTGATGTGTGTTACCCCAGGAAACGCGAAAGGCCAGGGAGAAAACCGCTGCCATGGTGAAGCAGGAAAATACGCTTGACTTCGATGGTTTTCTCAATTTTCCTGAAATATAGAACGACAGAACCTGTAGGACTGTACAACAACCCCCGAAGGCCCTAAAACCTAAACCCTAAACCCTAAACCCCAAACCCCAAACCCCAAACCCCAAACCCTAAACCCTAAACCCTAAACCCTAAACCTTAAACCCTAAACCCTAAACCCTAAACCCTAAACCGACCCGGAACCATCGAGATAGCTTCTGAAATCGACGTCGATCTTTCGAACCCTCCCAACCGGCTTAGGAGCTCTAGAACAACCTCCCTAAGAGCAGTGGGGATTAGGGTCTTAGGGTGTAGGGTTTGGGGTCTAGGGTTTAGGGTTTTTAGGGTTTAGGGTTTAGGGTTTAGGGCCCAGGGTTTAGGGTTGGGATGTTCCCCCTTCTCCTAACTGTCCTTAGTAGGCATTGTAATGGGGGGTACTATACTCCCTGTAAAGGACTGTTTGTGCAAGGGGGCACATCCCAACTCATACACCATTTGAAATTTTCTTGCAAAAAACCAGGAATCTATAGAATGAATCGTTTAGGTACTCACAATTCAATCCCTTCTATAGAATGACCCCTCTATGAAATCGCCAAACCCACGTTGTAGAGAACAAGGGTTCATCGTTTCTGTTGCGTCCTCATGGTGCTTCGAACTCAAAGCCTGTCTCTGCAGGAGGGTCTTGGGAGTTGTGTGTCAGCTACAAATCACCCTTCTGAAACTGCCAAATTCAGACGTGCTAGCCGTGCTAGCCGCTAGTTTATGTACTTTTCTCTCTTGGCCACGGTCGGCGCAACAGCGCTGCTTGCAAGTTCTGCGCTCTTTCGCTGTTGTGCTTTTCGCTGCCAAAGGCAGCGAGTGGTTTCATGCTTTGACCCAATCTTCTCCTCCGAACTTGGAACAATCCGTGGGCCAGGAAAATTTTCCTGCGGACTCTCACCTGCTCTTGCCTGGAACAAACAAGGAGTCAACGTGCCTACCTTCGCTGACAGCTTCAGCTCAGTTGCATGGTGCATCGCTTCGAGTGCTTGCGATTATTAGGATTCTTATCGTGAAGGTGGCGTGGCGAAAATCCAAAAAAAAACTGGGTTCTCTATTTTTCTTATTATTATCATCAAGTCGATCGACCTTCATATTTATGTATCAAATTCTGATTTTGTCTTTTGAAATATTGATAAGTTAAAGTAGTAGTGTCTTGTTTGATTCTTTTCATAAGTGAATACATTTGGGATGCAACGAAACGTCTGTTTTTTGAAATATGTTTACGAGAAATACACGTGTATGAGTTATGATATCCTGATCTTTGCAACTATTACTGATTGTGCTCGGTAGGTTTTACTGATAGAACCGATGCGTAGTAGCCATAATCTGTAAGGCACCTTTACTGCCAAGTGGTGTTTTGGGGCCTCCTTTTGGGAGCTCCAAAAAGTGTTTGAGTTGGCGTCGCTTGAAAGGGCCAGCTTCGATTTGCTGGAAACAGCTATTTCACTTGCTGATAGAGTGACTGCTCATGTGCAAGTGACTCTCTGGAACGCTTGATAAATCGGCTGAAAATTGGATTATGTAAGCTTTTTGAGGGCCAAAATGCACTCCGAAAAAAGCTTCAAAATCGCAAAAAACGTCACCAACAATAGGCCCCGTAATTTGAGCTTGAGGCAGAGCCATGCAAGGCAAATTGAATAAGGGAACCAAAAGCAAAGCCAAGAAAAGGGACTTGTTAGGTCCGGATTTTTTGCAAGAAGGGCTCTC